GGCACGTGCGAAAAAGGAATAATCACGTGACGGTGAAGACGCGGTTGAAGCAGACACACGTGCGACTTGTTTCTCACCGCTCCGACAAATACACAATTTAAAAAAATGAAGCGGACAAATTTGACCATACGAAAGTCGTATACTTTGGCGTGGTACGGAAGGGTACAAATGTAAATAATCTTGGGAGTTATGAAAAGTCTTGGAACTGTGAACTCAACCAAAAATAAAGAAGAAGAGATCTTTCCTCTTTGATATGGTTGTTGTGTTTATTGATACGACACACGTGAAAACTTTAATACCAACTCTTATCTTATTTCTTTTATTCTTCGTCTCTATTACTGCTACCTCCTTGCATGATCTAAAACTTCTCTCTGTTACTCAAAGCGACAAAAAAAAAAAAAAAAACTTATTCTATGGTTTTAAGATGATGAATCATGGGATTAATTAATAACGAACTATTTTTTGATGCGAGATTATATACGACGCTTGACACTAGACCCTTTACGTACAAAAATAAGTGTGTGTTGTTGTTTTGTATTACTCTCTAATCATGGGACTAATATTATAAATAGATTTGCACTTTGAAGATTGTTGTAAAGTTAAAAGTCGTTTTAACGCATTTATATGTCTATGAACTTTTACTTTGACTAGAAGATCCAGACAAAAGGGTTCAATTTTAAAACACAAAAGTCAAACACAAGTATGTTGTGCTTGGCTTAGTCAATAAGGCGTTGATGACATGCTTACTGCCACCGATAAGTGTGAAGTCTCTCCTATGGCCAAATTATTATATCTTCCTCTCCTTTCAAGGCAAGGTCAATAGATAAGTTTTTCATATTTTGTGTTTGTTGTAGAATATTGACTCATGTAAGTCGTCTTTGCATCATATATACTCCATATTTTTAGTCTATCAAATTTTGATACTTGTACTCAAAAGGTGTTTATCAACCTTGCAGTGAATTTCCCTTCTTTTAAGGAATATATTCTACTGACCTTTTTGTTATTATTGTTTTAGGATGATATATGTGCATAATTTCGGTGATGAAACATTTTAACGATGATCTTGTATTTTAAATTCTTTTGATCGTAGTTCCCATACATTAGTGTTTTCTTCGCATGCCATATAGGTTACGTAAGTACCGTTTGAAACAACTCCAAATTTTAACGTTTCCTTTTTACCTATACACTTTATACAGATCTCTTTATCTATTCGTATAAATGTTGAGGGGAATACTAATTACTACGATATGCATTATATAACTTTTAATGTTATTTAAAAACGTTTTAAGTCAAAGAAAACAGAAAGAATTAAAAAAAAATCCACACCGGCCACTCCTAGATGTTTTGAATTATTATTATTTGGTCAGTTGGCAAAAATGGCACGTGGAACACATGCCCACGATACTCCGTCACTCTCAGACGCGTGTCTAATCTGTGGTTTTAGATATTAGACCGTTCACGATGGATCATGATTGATTCATTGGCAACAATGAAAAGATTCGCTGTATTATTAACCAACAGTGATCTCAAAAAAAGCTTTCGAGATATGAGAGTTGTGCTTTTTGTGATGTATTAATTTAACCTTTTGAAATTATACTCTCTATAGTCTCTACAGTTATTTACTTTGACAAATATCGATTGAAAATTAAAGACTATTCGACAACCGTGACATGATGCATCAAAACGAAAAAAAAAGAAAACGTTTAAGAGAGACTCGTACCCCGCACATGAGCCGATCGTGCTATTACCTTTCCCTTTATTTGGTTTGCCCTTTTCAGCTCTTTCATTACTCAACACAACAAAAACAAAAACAAAAACAAAACGAAAGAATGCTTCGGGCCGAAGTAGTTAGTAAAGAAGAGATCTTTTTATATTTTAATTAGATAAAACGAGGTTAGTGATCCATTGCTTTGTGATAGTGGAGTATCGTTTATTATATTAATCACATCATTCAAGGTTCACTAAACGTCAGTTTATATATTAATATATATATATAGTTATATGCATTATTAATAAGTATGTCACCAAAATATAAACTAAAAATCGCCGTTTGCTGACCCCAATTAGCGTTTCTGCCACTTGAAAAAAGCGGTTGGAGTTTTCATGTAATTACTGTAATTTTTTTTAATTTTTTTTTATGTATATGATATTTGTATCTGAATGGGATGTAGCTATCAACAAAAAGAAAAGCATCTGATGTACGTAGCAATGAAATTTACAACCACTGCTAAACAAATTGTCCACTTAAAAATAGTTTTATAGATAAATTTTGGGAATAAAGCTGACAATGACTGTGTCGGATGTCGTCATTCGCTGAAGCTACCATATTCATACGAACGAACGAATAATGTGCTATATTATAATTGGTAATAAAATAAGATTTTTGTTTAGACCAAAAAAATAAAAATCCACAAGATTAGAAAGTCAGTATCTCGGAATTAAAAGTTAAACTAGTGGAAAACGCCGTAGAGAGAAGATTGGAAAGCCTTAAAAAGCCCAATAATTTTGGGCAATATTCGTTTGGGTTACCTAAGCTCACCACTGCTTCTTCTGTTTCTCTTATAATGAGTTGCATAGGCCTTAAAGGTCCATTAAACTTAGAAGATTTGTGAGATTATATATTTCGGTCTCGTCTAATATGTTTCTCTCAGTTTTAGTTGCTTACGACATTAAAACCATGTCCATATCATCACCCTCCAAAACAAATTTACAAACCATCTCTCTGTTTCATAGTCAATGAAAGAAAGAAATAAAGAAACTGACGTTTTGTATATTTAATACAACTTTTTTGAAAAAAGAATTGCTATCGCCATTATGAATTTATTAGCTCCATAAATAAAATAATATTGACAAAATATATGATATTATAAATTTGGTTTTCTTAAAACACGGGAGTCAACAGCTTGTATATCTAATTTACTGTATAATAATAATAATTTACGTACTAGTTTCGGATTTTCGGGGATAACGTATCACATTACAAAATGACTCAGTTTATAAGTACCACAAGACCAAAATAATTAGTACTGTAGTATTTAATTTCATTGTTACGAATTTTATAATATACGGTCGACTCGAGATTATGTATAGTTTGATGATTCATTGACTCAGTTTCAAAGCTCACCTTTAAATAAGCTCTTTCGATGATTTTCGCATAAAACAACACGTAAGGAGGAACATGATCCACGGATTAGGCAAAAAGCTAAGGTTAGAACTCTCATACATTTGCATCTTACTTAAAAGGAGCAATATATATATATAGATTATATCCTAGTTCCAAGGTGAAGACTCAATTTACTTTTATTTCTTGTTGTTTAATTGATCTCTGTAACTCAATACTTCCAAGTTCCAAAACTATAGATATTTTGTATTATCATAATTTTTTTTTTTTTTTGAAGAAATTAATAGTCAAGAACGTTAGGTATATATACAAATAATGACATGATATAAGAGTTTTCAATATGCTTTTAATCTTGAAGTAAAAATCTGAAATGGTTGAACGAAATAAAAAGCCAAATGGCCGACTTAGAAATTGATTGAATTGCTAAAGCGAGACTCTTTACCCTTTAAATTATAAATCATATGATTTGACCTCATTTGTGCCTTCTTTTCAATTTCCAATTTAACCTAAAACTCATAATATCCAACCCAATATACCCACGAAACGTAAAGTTCACAAAACAAAACCAACTTTATTATTACTATTACAACTACATTTTTCAGATATCTCTTTTCTTTTAAACCCTAAACATATTCACAAATCAGGTCATTTTTATTTAAGTGAAAAAGAGCAATGACAGATTTTGTTACAAACAAATGCAATATAAAGCTAAAAGATATCATCATAGAAACCAAACTAAAATAGAAGCATTTAGTGAACTCTCTGGCAGTGGCAGGGGAGCTAAGCTGTGTGTCTTGATTGGAAGGTGGGAAAATGGGTTGTTAATTAACTTTTTATGTTTATTGAATTAAAAAACTCTAATATAGTTTAGTTTATAATTCCGGAAAGGATGATCATAAATCTAATGTATATTTTTTAATGGTCCACCACCAAAGAAAAAAACTTAACAAGGCTGGGTTTGTGGCTTTTTACTGTTGGACTCATTATACATAAAGTGTATTTCATGAAACTTTATTGAATCCTTTTCAGCTTAAAATTTTGTATTATTATAAAAGAAGTGGTTGATGATTGATGAAGAGATCACCTCAAACTTTTTATACAAAAAGAAAAGGAACTGTGTTAATAGATATTAAAACAGTTAAAGAAAGAATTGAGTAAAAGGGAATAAACAAAGAGACTAAAATGATGGGTTATGGACCATATGTGTGTGTGCGCACTGCGCACTCGTAAATCCAATTATTGATAAACATATATATACACTTTGATGGACATTGCCATGCCATAAATTCAATTCACCTACTTCGAGTTTAACCAAACTCAGTATGTATATATATCCATATGAATATGATAAGACCAAAGAGACAATGTGATTTTGATAAGGATCAGAACGTGAATATGGGAGTATTCTGTTTTCCATCCATTTAATCATATAGCTTGAAGACAAATCATTACTTCGTACAGAAATTGAATGCAGAATCTTCCGGACGATTATTTTACAAAAACACATAATGAAATGAAGAAAAACAAATAGTCATAAGCAGCAGAGAGCACATGAAAGCCATTTACAGAGGAAAAATACCTACTCGACTACTCGTAAAGCATCAGAACCATATTCGAAAAACAAAAAAAAAACTACAACATGCCTTATTTTTCTAAAACTCACAAAGATCCAATGTATTCGATTTAAGATTCCTTCGAGCTATATTGGCTGTGTGAACCAAAAAAAGAAAGTAGTCAGTGAAAACATTATAAATTTTATTTATTACAGCATTAGTAACTGCAGCTCTCATATAAATGTCGTGTAGCTTACTAATTCCTGAGGAATCTACTCGTTTCTTCGGTTCAGTAAAGAAAGAGAGAGAGAAAAGTACAAATATTAGTTGTAAAGACAAGAAAAAAGAGATTTCATATAATAAATGAACAAGACTGTAATAACAAGTAGTGTGTATTCGTATTGATAATTAGAATTTAAGAAACTCTGCAATATTTTCTCAGAGAGACAGAGACACAAAGAAAGAGAGAGAGAGAGAGAGCATTTAGGGAACAGGAAGTGGAGTGTTTGGTTACGGTGGTGAGCTGTTTCTTTTTCTCTCTTTTAACTCTCTTTAACTCTCTTCACACCTCTCTCTATCTCTCCCTCTCTGTCTTTCACAGTAGTTTGATGAAGCCATGAAAATGGAGTTGATGCCAATGGTTTTCTTCTTCTTCTTCTTTTGCTCTGTTTTGAATTCCTCTGCTTTGAACTCTGATGGGTTGGTTCTGATGAAATTTAAGTCCTCTGTTCTTGTTGATCCTCTGTCTTTATTACAGACTTGGAATCACAAACACCAAACTCCATGTTCTTGGAGAGGTGTCTCTTGTAATAACGATTCTAAAGTCTTGACCTTGTCTCTCCCCAATTCTCAGCTTCTTGGTTCGGTTCCATCTGATTTGGGTTCTCTCTTGACACTTCAAAGTCTCGATCTTTCCAACAATTCCTTCAATGGGCCATTACCAGTTTCTTTCTTCAACGCTAGAGAGCTCAGGTTCCTCGATCTCTCCAGTAACATGATCTCCGGCGAGCTCCCTTCTGCAATTGGTGATCTTCACAATCTTCTAACCCTAAATCTCTCTGATAATGCCTTGGCGGGAAAGTTACCTGCCAATTTGGCGTCATTGAGAAACTTGACGGTGGTTTCTTTGGAGAATAATTACTTCTCCGGCGAGATTCCTGGCGGTTGGAGAGTTGTTGAGTCCTTAGACCTGTCGTCGAATCTTATCAATGGCTCGCTTCCACCGGATTTTGGCGGAGACAGTCTCCGGTACTTGAACGTCTCGTTTAACCAAATCTCCGGCGAAATTCCACCTGGTATCGGAGCCGATTTCCCCAGAAACGTCACCGTTGATCTCTCATTCAACAACTTAACCGGTCCAATCCCGGATTATCCGGTTTTCTTTGACCAGAAATCAAATTCATTTTCAGGAAACCCGAATCTATGCGGTGACCCGACCCGAAACCCGTGTCCCATCCCTTCCTCACCGTCGATTGTCTCCGAGGCCGAAGTACCAACATCTACACCAGCAATAGCCGCCATACCGAACACAATTGGGTCAAACCCGGTTACCGATCCAAAATCACAACAAACCGACTCAAATCCCCGAACCCGGTTACGACCCGGAGTTATAATTGGGATAGTTATCGGAGACGTAGCCGGAATCGGAATCCTTGCCTTGATTTTCCTCTATATCTATAGATGCAAGAAGAACAAGACCGTTGATTACGACAGCAACAAACAAAGACAAGAAACAGAGACAACAATTACGCTATCAACATTTTCATCACAATCATCTTCTTCTTCTTCACCAGAGGAATCAAGAAGATTCAAGAAATGGTCATGTCTACGAAAAGATCCTGAAACGACACCATCTGAAGACGAAGAAGAAGAGGATGGCGACGAAGAAACCTGTTACAATGCAAATCAACAGTCAGGAGATAACAAGAAAGGGACGTTAGTGACCGTTGAGGGAGAGAAAGAGATGGAGATTGAGACTCTGCTTAAGGCCTCAGCTTATATTCTAGGAGCCACTGGTTCGAGTATAACGTATAAAGCCGTTCTCGAGGATGGAAGGGTTTTCGCGGTTCGTCGGCTAGGTGACAACGGTTTGAACCAGCGCCGGTTTAAGGATTTCGAGTCGCATATACGAGCCATTGGAAAATTGGTTCACCCGAATTTGGTCAGACTCTGTGGGTTCTATTGGGGTACCGACGAGAAATTGGTCATTTACGATTTTGTCCCTAATGGCAGCCTCGTCAACCCTCGTTTCCGTGAGTTTTATTGAACGTTTGTCTATTTAACCGTTACATGATTTGGTAGTTTGTGATTAGCCTAGTTTGCTAAAGTAGGATCTTAATGCACATGTGTGAGTTATGCTGAGATTAGAGTGTTTTGGCAGGAAAAGGAGGAGGGTCTTCTTCGCCTTATCATTTACCGTGGGAAACTCGACTCAAGATAGCAAAGGGCATTGCACGTGGGCTGGCTTATCTCCACGAGAAGAAGCATGTGCATGGAAACTTGAAGCCTAGTAACATACTCTTGGGCCACGACATGGAGCCTAAAATAGGCGATTTCGGACTCGAAAGGCTTCTAACAGGGGAAACGAGCTACATCCGAGCTGGTGGGTCATCTCGGATTTTCAGTAGTAAGCGTTACACAACCTCCTCCCGAGACTTCTCGTCTATAGGGCGTACGCCAAGCCCCAGTCCGAGCTCGGTTGGGCCGATGTCACCTTACTGCGCACCGGAGTCTCTCCGAAGCCTAAAACCGAGTCCAAAATGGGACGTTTACGGCTTTGGAGTGATCCTTCTCGAGCTTCTCACGGGAAAGATCGTGTCGGTTGAAGAGATTGTGCTAGGAAACGGATTGACAGTTGCGGACGGACATCGCGCACTGAGGATGGCAGATGTGGCCATGCGCGGCGAGTTAGACGGCAAGCAAGACTTTCTGCTCGATTGTTTCAAGTTAGGCTGTAGCTGCGCATCTCCTGTTCCTCAAAAGAGGCCAACGATGAAAGAATCTTTGGCTGTTCTTGAAAAATTGGGTCCAACTGCTACTAAGTCTCCATCGTTCCACTACGGACATTAATGTGTCAGTTTGATACAACTAGTTTAGTCAATTTGATTTTATTGCTAACTTGTTTCTGTCATTCTGTGTATAGAACTTGTATTTCCTGTTTTTTTTTTACAGTCTGATTTCCCAACATTAATAATATTTTTATTGAAAAGAATATACTGTCACTAATGCTGGATATACAAATGGCGTGGGAAAATAGAGCTCAATGTATTTGAGAGAGAAGGAAAGAAAGTGTGAAGGTTAATGAATCTGTGTAACTTATGAAATACATGTGAGGAAGTGTCTGTGTGAGTAAAGAGCTAAAAAAAAAAAAGAAATATATCATTTTATTATATATTTCTTTTGATACATAAATAAACAAGCAATCTTTCTTTGATTATAAAGGAAATTGATCGACATAAGGATTTATAAAGTTTAACATCCTTATGATGAATCAACTACCTTCTTTTTTTTTTGGGTTCAAAAACTATACATTACAAACAATAATAATATGAGATTTAAATTAAATGATAAGAATCCCAAATGTTGAAATCTTGTACATCGAGCGTTTTGATTCCTAAACACTGCTGATGATACTTCCACGAACCGGGTTTGGACTGTACTTAACCGGATACGAGGCTTCAACCGCAATCCCACACTTACCGGATTTAGAAGCCGCCAAGTTCCTCTCCATCCTAATGTAACCTTCCTCACCCCAACGCGGACCCCAAGAGTTCCTCACAATCCAATAGTCGACGCCGTTCTCTGTCCCGTACCCTACCGCCACCACCGCGTGATCAAGATTCGTACCACACTCCCCGGTGAAGATCCCCTGCCAACCAAAACCAAACCGGTTATTTGAGTATCCAAAACCCGGTTTTGTTACAAACTACAAAATTTAAGGTCGGCTCCGCTTACCGATTGGTAATGTTGGAAAATTCTACCACCGGCTTCAATAGCAACACTCACAGGCTGGTGTGAAATTGCTTTCTTCAAGGCTGCCTCGTCTTTCGTAGGAACATCTTCGTACCCATCAATACTCACAACTCTTGAATTCTTCTGCAAAAAACACAACAAGATTTGAATATATGTTGTAATTCAAAATGAAAACAGAGTTGCTCTGTTTTTGTGTGTTTACCAAGAAAGAATTGCATTTCCCGTTGGATCCACGGTAAGGGTAATCTTTTTCAGTGTTTAAGCCACCGTTCTTCATGATGAATTGAAAAGCGTAGTCCATTAAACCTCCGTTGCAACCTTGGTTGTAGGCTTTGTCGCAGTCCACTAGTTCTTGTTCTGACAGAGATACGAGTTCTCCTGTTACTATCTTATTTATACCTTCTACTGCTGCAGTTGTCGAAAACGCCCAACAACTTCCTGCGTAGAGTAATAGTACACATAATAAGATCAATACGGAATAATACACAGCTCCATGTATTACAAATTTACAATGTTAAGTTACTTTGTATGTTTGTAAGATCGATTAGATTATAAAGGATAAAAGCATAATTAAGCAATTACCGCAAGTTCCTTGGTCTTTAACGGGATTAACGGCTCCTTTCTGCCTCCAATCAACCGTCTCTGGAACCCCTTTGCCGTTTACAGCGGCTGAGTATTTCTGGTTAACATGCTTGGCCTTAGCGATGCGGCGGGTGGGCTCTGTTCTTGCTCCAAGGTATAAACTTCGGTACTCATCGTTAGTGAGATCGGTAAATTTGGTGAGACCAAGCTTGTAAGTAGCGTTCTTGTTGTTGTGGTTGTGAAGATCGATGAATCTTAGGTTGTCTTTGAAAATATTGAATCTTCTGTCTTGGTCGTTGATGATACCGTTGTTGTTGTTAGTTTTCCCGTGTTCCGCGGACCATTGTAAGTAGATGGACCTCACTTCTTCATCGGTTCTCCACCAGCCGTCGGATGGAAGTTGGAGAAGGTCGTCTTTGATGATGGACTCATCACCAGAGGCTAATGAGACGACGACGTATAAGAGAAGTAACGAGAGGATTTTTGATGAGGGAGCCATGTTTTGGTCCTTTTGGATATAGTTGGGAATATTTTGAGATGGTTTGTTTTTTGTTTGAGGGGATGATGAGAAACTGTGGTACTATTTATACAAAATTTTTGATGTATATATTAATATTTCAAGTTGGTATACTTTTCTATTATAATGAATGGGAATAATGGGCATGCAAGATGGTGGACGGTTCGAATGGATTTTTTTGAATGAATTTTTTTTGTGTATTTAATCAGTAGTATATATATATATATATATATATATATATATATATATAAATATTATATATTTGTGTGTGAATATACAAGAGGCAGGCAGATATTTATGTATTTTTCATTAGTTTAATACATTTCGAAACTGGAAAAAGATCCTATTAATGCATTTCACGGATCTACAAAATAATAATAAAAATTTATTTTTTCTAAATGTTACTATTGGAAGTCTCCAGAGAAGAGTTAAGTTGAATTATTGAGAGTGTTAAAGGTATTTTTAGTTATCTTTTGTACATTAGTTTTTACTTGTAAGAAGTACGCAACCTTCTTTCTTAATTCGACTGATCTGTCTGATCATAATTTTTATGCTCGTATATATGTTACATATAAACGGGATGTTAGTATCATTACGTTTGTTACGTACAATTTTATCGGATATTAATGATTTTTGATTTAAAATTTTGACTTCAGTAGAATGAAAGCATATATCGAAGAAGCAGATAATTGTGAGAGATAGCCGACCAAGAAACAAAGAACTAGGAAACATAGTTCCCCTTCCCTTGCGACACTTTTGTTTGGTAAAAGCATTCATTCGACATTTTTATTGTATTTCACCCAAAAGAAAAGGAGTTCAAACTCCGAAGATTCGTGGGGTCAAAATATTCGTCTGTCCAATTCAAATAGTTTACTATTCTCTTCTAAAGTCTGTTTACGGAATTATCTTGTAGACTGTGTAAATGTAATATATTACTACATGCAAATTATAATAAGATGGTTTGTTTGTTACTTTCTTTTTACTTTTCTGCGGTCTGTTGTATACATCACCAATCTACCACGAGAGACTTGCGTATGTATTCATATATATCAGACGACTAACGTAAATAGATTGCTATCGTATAGTAGAAGAAACCATGTAAACCTTTTAACACAACGATGTTATTTCATTCTGGTGTAATTTTGCCTTTTTAACCTATCTCAGATGGCCTATGCGTTATTATCTTTATTTTTCATGGTCATGCAGTTTAATTTGATATTTTTAACCCGATCAGTATTATATATTTCCCCCGATTTGCATACAATTTTTTTTTTTTTGGTTTGAGTTGTCACATGGCTCACGCCTTATGTATTTATTGTTCCCTCTGTTATGTTTGGATACAGTCAGTCAGCTCTTAGCTGCAAACAGGCTTTTTGCGTCTCACCGGAATGGTCATTGGCTACTAAAACCATACCACGCTCGCAGCAAATTGTGAACTTTACTTTCAGTTCCGGACGCATGGGAACATGAAGAAATACAATCAAAACTGGGAAATTGGAAACAGGATGATCTCACTCGAAATCAATATTTACGAAATAGCTGCATCTTCTTTCGTGACCGAGAGCTCCTTTTACGTTGAATGATATAATATACATATATACATATATTGACATTGGGTTGTGAACATTTTAATTAGGTATAGATGTCTGTGAAATCTCTGAATTCAACGTTACATCAGTTCCCAAGAAACTGTGGTCTGGTTTAACAATTTTCACGTCTGAAATAATTCATTTGTTGGCTTCTCCAACTGTTATTAATACTAGTTAGTTGATTGATATAAAGATATATAGAGAGCTTTATGAAGATTCATGGAACAAATAAGAAAGAGAAGGGATGGGTGGATGAGATGTTCCCATTTCACGGCAGATTCTATGGTCATGAGGCGGCGACCCATCCTGACCGTTGGAGTTTTCATATACATATATATGTAAAGCAATACATACTTCTGAATAAAAAGAGGAGAATAAAATTGGGATTGGAGGAAATGGGAGGCAAAGAGGTGTCTAAACCAAGTTTCAAACCGAAGTTGGCTTTTGATAAGGTTTAAGAAACAAAAGTGTCTCCCTCGTGTTTCTGACATATGTGACAACTAAAGGTGACCGTTTCATTTAAAGAAAAAGGTGACCGTTTCTGTTTTGTATATATATCACTAATTTTGTTCAATTTGGATATTATTTTGTATGGGGAAGCTAGGCTACGCACGAAGCATGGGAACATGTATGGCATGTTTTGATATTTTGACTTGAGAATTGTGTAATCAAAAGCGTTTCCTTTTTGTATAACGTCATTTTGGGATTCAGAAATATTAAGAAATTGAAAAAGAAGAAGAAAAAAACGAAGCAAAGAAACCGACTGTTACCGTAAGATGTGAATTGTAAAATGGTCAAAGGACACGCTCACACGCACCCATTGTTACGACCATAGTTTCAAACAAACGAAAAAGAAAAGGAAGAAGTGGTGGTGGCTGGTGGGGAGTAGTTAAAAAAAGGAAAACATGTGATCTTGTCTGACAAAACCGCCTTATCCTCCTCCATTATTTCGGTTATGAATCTGTTTGCAGTCTTTGTCTCGCCTTTAAAAATTCTCTGGTTTCTTCTATTCTCTTACCTCAGCAAATTATGATTCTGTTTTGTTTTTTTTTACACCTTTCTTCCCCCATTTCTTTCTCTCGAAGGTATCTTTTCCAATGTCTTCATCTCAAAGATTAAATCTTCTGAAGTTACTGGTAGCTTCTAGCCCAATCTCAGGATTTGGTAATATATTTTTCCTTACAATCCCACTTGCAGATATAGACATAGATGTTGTCATATCTATGCTCACATATTCTTTTAACAACTAAAAGAAAAAATACTTTGGACGTAAGAAATGACTTTGATTTCTGAGAGACGATTGTGTAAGAGTAAAAAATATTTATAATCCATCAACCGAAGTAAAATTGAGACACTACTGCAGAAAACGTAAATGAATTGAGAAATATGCTTGCAAACTATACAACCCAAAGTTTTGTTTCTACACTTTTTTTTTGTATCCCTCAAGAACATGAAACAAACAATCTTTGTTACTAATAAAAGATAAGTTTCAAATGACCAAAAAATGAAAACGGTAGTTGAAAAAACGAATGATCATCGTTCCCCGAAAAACCTGTATACCTTTTTGGGAGCTCCATCATTATAATCTAAAATTTCCCAGCTTTGTTCTCCCTCTCGTTAGCTGTAATATATGCGGTATCTGGAGGAGAAGATGATCTCTGAGGTTTCTCTAAGACTTTTGGCAAACAAATGAATAATAGTAGCAAAGATCTCTTGAACTGTATTCTTTTTCTCAGTTTCTTTCTTGACGCTTTGACATAGATGAAGAAACTTGTGTTGTATCGGTTAGTTTAGGTTCATGTTTATTTCTCTTACTTCTGCGTTTCGGTTTTCGGATTTTGGTTGAATGTTGTTGCTGCTTAGGTATCACCACGACAGTGTTGCCACCTTGGGACAATGGCATTTGATCTTTCTTTTTGGTTGGTGGCTCTGGAGGAACATCTGGCCATGGAGTGCGTTTAGCGGCAACTGTGATCTCTAACGGAGGATCAATTATCCATCTGTATTCAAAGCACAAGAAAAAGCGAAACACAAGTCAACATCATAAGAACATTCAGACAATGTGAGACCAAGAGATCTTTCCATAAAACACAAATCCTTTTTGTCTTTTTATCCTTAGCCTGTTCTGACCCAACAACAAGATCTGATCAGTATTAATAGACTAATTGACTTATGACCTAAAAGAGGTGTAAACTAGTCAATTCAACAAGACTGGACTTGCAAATGGTTGGTAGTACCAACTTGGTACTTGGTAAGATTAGGTTTTCAAGTTTTCATACCCCCATCTAAATATGAAACTAGTCAAACTCACTAACTAATTCCTAATTTGAACTTGGGCAAAAGTCCAGCAAATTAGTTATATTCCTTGTGACTAAAGACCTGCTTCCTAAATCGATTGATAAAGAGCTTACTAAAACCACAGTTGAGAATGTTTATCCGGTCTTCAATAAGATTGCAAGATGATTAACAATATGCACAATTACTATATAGGAGCACAAAGGCATACCCGGGAGGGAATTTGCTATCAGCTCGTGCTTCAACACGAAGCCACCATAGCAGAACCTGTCTTCCACAGCTTCCAAGAGGCTCCACCATTGTAGGATCCTTCAATAGAGACAAAGGACTCTCCACGCCTTCATTCTCATTCAACGAACCAAAGTCCTTAATCCACTCTGGCTTATTCTCAGCTTCCTCCCATAGCAATCTCGAGTTCAGCACGAACCCAGACCACTCTAATTTCTGAGGCAAAACCGCAGCAACATCATCGATATAAACCGCACTCTTCCCCGCATATGGCAAGGTATTAAAAATGTGCCACCCAATCAACTGATCAGTTGAGTTACAAGCAGGACCTTGAACCGGTAACGAAGAGCTCTCGCCCTCTTCCCCTGTCTCCTTCTCTTTCCTCTTATCCATCGAGATAACCATCTCTTCCGCATTTCCAGAATGCGCCAATATCCCAACAGAAACAGTACCAAACCACTTCACATTCTGAATTTCATCAAAGAACTCCATGCTATGCATATTACTATCGTCCGCAAACATCACAATCCCATCAAGCTTCTCTTCTCTCACAACTCTAAACACACCAACAGAAAGAACATAACTTTCAGCTCACATCACACACATTTCAAATCTAGATGCATTATTGAAACAAAACAGATAAAATCAACAAATAAACTTGCCTCAAAGCCTGGAGTCTCATAAAGACTTCTAATTTACTACGATCCTCCCAAGTATTAGGCATTCTCTGGTCAATCCCGAGATGAATCGTCCTAAGTCCTGATTTGGCAATGATGGAAGCCGTCTCGTTAGTAGCACCACCAGCTTCAACAACGATCCAAACCAGATCATAAGGAACAAGCATCAACGAATGCATCACACCACTCAAATGCAAAGCCTGGAAAGTCCTCACATAAGTCGGCGTCACAGCTATAACCATCTTACTAGTCTTCATCCCAAAGATGGTCTTTTGCTCCTTCTGAACTCTCTCTATAATCTGATGAGCTTTCATCACCTCAGCCGGGTTGGGATGCGGCCAGGGCCGGATCCGGATCCCGTGTCTCCCGACAACAACACGCGAGCTCCTCGTCGCCGCGGCCACCGTCACGTTAGCTCCGGGATCTAGATGACGGCCGATTGTGTGAACATCGAGGTGCTTAACGGGTAAGTCAGGACGAAACGGAGCAGAGTAGAGATTGGTAGAAGAAGTAGAGAAGAGGAAGAAGAAGACTAATCTGGAGAATCGAAACCCGAGAACTAGACTAACCAAGCAACAAAGACAGTGCACGAAAAGCCAAAACACAGCAACTAGAGACTTCCCGGAGCCATCAACGGAAGAATCAAGCGACGTCGGAGATCTGAAGCTATTACTCCGGCGATTTAAGTAGCTCTGATGTAAAGCAGAGAGCTTCATCTCCTCCTCCTCTCCTTCGTTGACCCTCTCTTTCTTGCTTCCTCCTCCTCCTTATCAAAAAGATCTGAGATTACTTCAATTTCACGACCTTAATCAGTTCGATTATCGCTTTCTCTTCTTGCTGTTGTTGCTGCTGCTGCTGCTGCTCTCTCTCTCTCTCACCATACCAAAATCTCTGATGCTTCGTTGCAACGCCATCGAAGAAGCAGGGGAAAGCGACAAGGTGGGACACGTGTACTTTTCTAATTGGCTAAAATCGATTAAATTACCTCTTCTTATAATATATGTGTCGTTTTAATATATGTGTCTGTGTCTGTGTAAAATTAGAGTAAAATTAGGGTCGTTTTAATATATGTGTCTGTGTCTAATTGAAGTTAATTTTGTTTTTAGTAATAATTTTTGTGGGAAATTTCGGGTGTTACATTAAACATCCTCTCTCAATCTTTTGAATTAAATGAATGTGTTTTGTTTTTCAACAAAAGCATATGGTTCTCTTTAATTAATGGCTATTGAAAGTGATTATCGAGAAGGAATGTACATGAATTTGGGAAAGACTACTAAACCAAGTGATTGATTACGGGATATCTTTAATGGGCCATAAGTTAAAGCCCATGATAAAGACGTATCCGTCATGTCATAGACATAGAGTACAGTCTGGTCCACAGAAAATGATCCGGTTTGGATGATTTTGGTATAGAGGTTAATAATCTCGTTTAAACCGGTTTGGTGTGGGGGGAGTAGTTATAAAAGATGGTTTGTTATCGGTTCGTTTTCACCTGCACCCAAAGCAATAAACTATGAAAGCTCTGCGCCACCAAATTTTTTGGTAATTGTTTGGGTCTTCAGGCCCATTGGACCTCTTATGAACGCTATATGTCGTCGTACATTTTTTTAAATTCACTCCTCCTCCTAAGTCCTAACGGCAGAATTCACCAACGGTCATTTGATTTGATGCTTAAAAGTTACAACGGTAAAAAAATATAGACGTTAGAAAAAAGTAGCCGTTTAAACGAACAAATCGAAGTTGCTTATAAAAGTGAACTCGTAGCCAGTAACTTTTACATCCCAAAATCATTTCTTCTTCTTTCTTCTGTATTACCATTTTTATCACTTGTTACCATTATTGTAGTTTTGGCTTCTCATATCCCTATATTAGTAAAAGAGAAGTACAAAAAGTGCTTTCGGGTCGGGTCAGTTTCAAAAAATTACCCGAAATTTGTAATTGGATCTTTTAAAATTGGATAGATTAATGGGTTTGGATACATACACCGGATACTTTCCAAATCTAATTTTAGGATTGTATTATTTCCATAATTAATTATAGGATTTACTAATATTTCTCTAACTAATTTAATACAATCTATTTAAAAATATTATTCTTCTTTCACTTTTATTTGATATTATTTTTAATTTATGATATTATACTATATAATATAAATATTTAATAAAAATTTAACTATTTTTGGAATATGTTGCAATTTGAATTTTTCAAAACGGACATATATAATAATCAACTACACTTGGTTAAATATTTTGGACAATGGTTTAAAATCATTATAAGTATGACCAATATTAAAACTATTGTTACATGAGCATATATAAAATTTCAAAATATTATAAATAAAAGGGTTCAAATATATAAAACTTTTAGAATTTAAAATATTGAAATATTTTTTTTAAGACATAAATGTAATTTTGGAGACATAATTTTCGAGACATAATTTTTATTGAAAAAATTTATTATATATCAAACTACGTAAATTTTAGATAATTCACGGGTAGTTTGTTAAAATCACAATTATAATGATAAAGCGAGTTACGAATAATGTTTTTTACGAAATGAATTCTGTTACGGATTGGACTTTCAAAAAATATATTGTAAATATGTAATTTTTACGTATATTCCTACTTTTACTACAAAAATGGTCAAAATGAATAATTTATCGACAAATATTATTTCGTGCTGTTAAATTTTCACCGTGTTTTTAATTGTATCAAAACTCAGTATATGATTATTTACTCGCTTTTTCCTTTATTATTTTATTTAAACTTATTATCCAAATATATGATTTACCGTAATCGACTGCACTCTAACAAAATTAAAATGTAATATATTCTAATCCGTTAAAAATTATATATATATAATAATTTCCTCCGCGCTATAGCGCGGGTCCGAATCTAGTTGTGTTTGTAAGAGAGAAAACGGGAGATAGAGAGAAACAATTTCATCCAAAGCTTCTCGTCCTTATCAAACTCTGTTCCAAAAGGCTGGTAAGAGATGTTAGATGTATCTCTTTTTTTTTCTATGAAACATTGTCGTAATCTAGAAGCAGTTTCATGTTCTGTTTTACTGTCATCATATTCTATTCTTCTCACTAAAGCATCGTCAGTTTCATTTTTAAGCATAATAACAATGTTTTATTTTTGTTTAATTCATATCTTCTCTGTCTTTTTTTTTTTAAGGGAGGAAATAAAAACCAGATCTCGAAGGTCTATCAAATTGCTCTGTGCAAGGAACGCAGAAACAAAAAAAATAGAGAGCGAAGGTTCAATCTCCAGCCCAGAGGTAGTAGATTCAGACTCTAGTATTTTTAAGCTTGGTAGTATAATCTGATTCTGATGCTTCTTGGCATGTTGGTTCTAATAATCTTTGATTTTTTTTTTTTTTTACAGGAATTTTACTGAGAAAAATGATGACTCTTGAGCTAACGAATGTAGGCAAACTTGGGCGCCGGTGAATCTTCCCCTTGGACGTAATGGTTTGATGGTAAGTTTATTATATCCTAGCTTCCCTTTTTCTTATCGTTGTCTTTAAAAGCCAATATAGTCGTAAAAAGTTAACTCTCTAGTCTCTCTCTCGGTCATCAACAACATTAATGTGTAGCTTTAGTATGTTAAGCATTGATCTTATTCTTTCCAAACTCGCTAGTAACATTGGTAGAATTGACTTTAGCTCCTCTAAGTATCATATTTACAGAGTACGAATATATAAATGCTCTTTAATTACGATTTTGGTTATCATTAGTCATTGCTTTGAATGTTTGCCACAAACTAGATGATTTATATTGTAAGAGATGGTAATTCATTTATTTTCTGGCTAACGCAGGTTATAAATTAGAAGGAGAGGAACTTTGGCACCTTCTGGCGACGGGAAACTTTGCTGACACCTCGGTAAATGTAAAAGTTACGTGTAAAATGTTTACAACATTCAACAAGCTCGTACAAAAAAACTTTGTTCGATTGGAGGTACGATATTTTGAGGCTGGTATGGTCCAATCCAAGTCATAGACACACCAGAGTGGCAGAAAGTCACACAGAGACTGAAATTGCAGGCACTTCGTTAGCTCTTAGGGAACGTGATAGGTCCCAGTCAAGAGCTTATAAGAACAATAGACTTTAAACATTTTTCTCTATATTTCATTATAAGATGTTATGATTATTTATACATGTTAAGGGCAATCCTAAAATATAGGAGACAGACATGAATCTAAGATTTAACATAATCTACCTAAAACCAATAACAACAATAAGATCACAAATGATATTCTCATTGTTTCATCCTTATCTTAGTTGATACCGGTTTACTTCGGTTATGTTCTCATCAATACTCCACCCTCCAAAAGAACTTTGTCCTCAAAGTTCATAAGAAACCTCATGCATCTTCTTGGATAGCTTCTTCCCATCTTCTTCGCTTGTGTCGTCTTGTCTAACTAGAAGATCAAAGGGCAGCTTCCCGTGGCTACAATTTTTTTTCTTTTTTTTTTAATATGAAAGATGTAGATTTTGATACCACAAATGTGGTCCGGATCAAAACGGAGAACGATGATAAAAATAGGGTTTGATACCACAAGTGTGGTCCGGATCAGAACCAAGATAGATAGTGGATGAAGGTTGCTATTGATACCACAAAGTGGTCCGAATCAAAAGCGAGATGAAGGCTCTGATACCAATTGATAGGTCCCAGTCAAGAGCTTATAAGAACAATAGACTTTAAACATTTTTCTCTATATTTCATTATAAGATGTTATGATTATTTATACATGTTAAGGGCAATCCTAGAATATAGGAGACAGACATGAATCTAAGATTTAACATAATCTACCTAAAACCAATAACAACAATAAGATCACAAATGATATTCTCATTGTTTCATCCTTATCTTAGTTGATACCGGTTTACTTCGGTTATGTTCTCATCAGAACGTGAGGTAAATAATGTTCTGTCTATAAACATGTTTAAATGGGATCTTCGTTTTCAGATGGAGCTTCACTTTAGTCAGATGGATTCAGTTGACCAAGGACGTGGAAACCGCGGAGCAAAGTCAAGAAGTCAAGGTCAAGTCTTGCGGTTCGAAGAAAGCCAAGATTCGGTGACCTTTTAATTCGACGTGAAATATTGGCTTGGTTCTAATGTCTGTATAAAAAGAAAGCCAATATATGCGTATTTACTATATTTTTGTGAATAATTTTAACTTAGTGAAAATTTAGGTTTTTACCAAAAAAAAAAGTATTTAGTGAAGAAATGTGAAGAATAAACCTGGGTAATATGCAGACATTTTTGTTAGTAGGTACTATTAGTTACTAATCAGAGCCCATGATTTCCGAACAGCGACAGACGACGAAGACAAAAATATAATGGTGGTGGATAAGTCCGGAAACAATAAAACAACGACTTATCCAGTGACCAGCGACTCCACCACATACTTGAGTCTTTAAAAGCTATTTATTGTTTTTTTTTTGTCGTTCTCCTCTTTCGCTGCGACACCCAACCGAACATGCCCTAATTCTACAACAAAGACAACAAGGCTTCCAAAAAAAAACCACAAAATTTATAAACTTCAAATGGGCTTTGTCATTGATTGGATTTTGGATATAGAATTGGGCCTTCCATTTAAAATCCTGAATTAGGGTCAGACCAAAAGTGATAAATATCTGGGTCAAACAAAGCAAGCTCAAACTTTTTGATTTTGCCTACTCATAAGAAAAGATAATCTTGTTTTATCATCATGTATGAATGAGGGAGGGACATAAAGATAAAATTCAAGTTAGAGATAATGAAGTTTTAAATTATACGATGCAGGTGTATATAACAAACAGCAAGTCAATAATTTGATGGAAAGAAAGAAAAAAATAAGTCAATAATTTGAAGTATCAATAATTCAGTTGTCGCATGTAATAAAGTTAAGTAGTAA